GCATCCAAACCTGTTGCTACTTTGCGAATTATGAACAGTTAGAAAACTTCTATTTCCTCCATCCCAAAGAAAATTGCGGTTGTGACTTTTCTAAGAATTACTTTTTCTCCAAAATTATTATGAGATTAATCGCGTGTCTGAGGCAATTTACGTATCACAGTGCCCAGCGCTGAATCTGGATCTGCCGTCACGGCATCCACAGCAGCTTCCGCGTCCACTCCGGGGAGCGCCTTGGCAGCTGCCTCGTCGTCCACCGCCGGGGATGCTTCCGGAGAAGCTGCCTTCGGCACAGCAGGTAGCAGGACGGTGTACAAAAGGCTGAGGAGATGTGGCGTGCCTTGCGTTGCTAAAGTACTGAGAAGATTAAGGCCCTAGGCAGAAGCGTCAGTGCCTGTGTTGCTAGAGTGCCGGGCAGATGGGACCCTGTCCGTGCTGCTAAGGTACTGGGAGGATTGCGTTCAGTTTTTGTTGCTAAATTCCTGAGCTTGCCCAGCGCCACCTTGGTCGTTTGAATAAAGTAGAAGCGGTGGGTTAACTGCAAGCGTATTTCTGAGCCCCTTCCTGCATACAAACTCCAGGCATGATACAAGGTATCATCAGTAATCACACATCTAGGATTGCTTGGATGACTCGCTGTGCAACACACGGACACTACGATGTACACAAGTTTGTCTCGTGCAGTACATCAATCATGATTAAAATGGATACACATGTGTCATCAATGTACGTATTAATTTTCTATGTGAACGTTTGTAATATTGTGTAGTGTGTCAATCGAGCAACTGTAATGCATCCACAAAGGAGATTCCTTCATCTGCCTGCCCTGTGGCTTAAATTGGCTTGCGCATCCAAGCGCGACACCGGCGTTCAATAAGACTAAGATTATGAATTGCACGAATAAAATTTATTTCGTTATCTGAGAGTTTGAAATGTTGCTGATTGTAATACTGAATTGTTGGTTGAATGCATAATTGCAGTACTCACTAGCAAAGTATGATCTACACCATCTTGCGTTTCGTTGGGTGTAAATGGAGAATGTAAATTTAGCATAGTCATACAAGAATTAGGGATACATTTTGAGCACGGGAGTACCAAGAATGCAGATTTGAGGCTTTGCACAGCGGCTTTTGGAGTGTCCGACAAGAGTGCGTCTTGGGGACGCCGCACTAGCCTTTATATGCTCTTATGATGAACACAAATATTGGAGTGTGTCAGCATATACAAAGGCTGGATGGCAAGCCCAAGAGTGGGAAAAAATATTCTTGTCCAATGACCCAAATATGCTGCCAGCAGCAACGCCCATAGGCATATCCGACGAATATGTGCGGAGAGCTGAAAGCAATTGATGTGTACTATAAAAACGAATTAGAACTGAAACGCATTGCCTAAAGAGACGTCGGCTGTCTGTTTTGCCAAATTGTAGGCTCGGGAATCCAATCCGATGCGGCACCTGCAGGTGCGCAACTCCATCTGATCTTGTGCACAGAAAAGCCGCATGTTCAACTGCAATGAAGTGCTGCATGGAAATCGTTGCCATCATTTAAATTTTACGATATTTGACCTTGAGCAAAGCCATTCGAGCTTGCTAAATTCTCAATGTGACGTTGATGTCTGTTGTGTACATCCGGTGAACAATCATTGAGACTTTTGCCCTTGAAATGTGATGAATATGACAGCAATGAAAACATAGAAGCAAACGAACAAATCCTAGCGATCCTACAGCTGTAAATCCAATTACAGCATTATGTGCAATGGCGTGAGACAATATGTCCATGATAGCGCATCATCTGTTTAAAGCCAAAGCTGAGCATGTCCCCAGCTAAGGTTGAAATTGGATAATAAACATTCAACCACTTTGTATATGAGTAAGACTTACTCACTTAGTGAGCAGTTATCCACAAATACTCAAATTATAACCAGATTAACACTTGATTCAATGTGTTGGCTGCATGTACCTGCGTATTTGTAGGTTCTTGGGTGGCTGAATGGTGACAAATGAGCTCACACATTGTCATTTTGAGTACTATAACTTACATTGGTGCAAAATAGATGCTGCCAGCACATTCGCCTGACAAGTTGTGGGTGCGTAAATTTGCGCCCATGGTTTTATATACATTAAATTTAACTGTCATTCTCGAAAATATTAAGATGTGGCAAAAATCAGTACTTAAAATTTGCAAATCGATGTCGTTTTTCATATGTATATGAGACATGATGTACAAATCATGTCAATCGAGGACTAAGTATATCATTAAGCAATCAGCACACATGTGCCTGCTGTGGAGCCTGCTGCGGAGTTTAGAAAGACAAGACCACTGTACCAAACATTGTGCCGCCCCAGCACTGAAATTTTTTGCGTGCGTAAAGTCAAGACATATATTGAATTACCATTCGCGACTCAGCAATTTGCCGTCCCTTCCAGATCCCATCGATTTCGGAACCATCATCGGGTGAGCACTGCAGAGCTAAACTTGGGCCTCGCACCCAATTGCATCACTCGCTGTTAGCTACGTTTCGACTTCGGTGGATCTTCATTGGATTTCAGGCAAACAGGGCGGCGCCGGCTTGCAAGGCCTCCGAGCAAATTTGTCAGTTGACGAAAGGGATTGACTGGGCCTTACAGGACAGGCTTGCCGAGTGGTTTCTAAGCGAATTCAGGAAAGAAAATAAATATGCATACGAGGAAGCGGGATGCGTAATATTCCAGTGTTTCTATCAATTTAGGTACTAGTTACTATTCGGTAGTTAGGCCCACAAATTCATTCGGAATCGGTTCGGCGTACGGTAGCAGGTGCGTGAGGTGTGCAGATAGATAAGCGTCAACCGCATCGATCCCCATCTGCATCCCATGTCTGCTTGTGGCCAGATAAGCGCCGCTTTCTTGGCGTGTGCCAGGCTCTCGGTTGTGGCAGTTCAGGAAGCACGTGGCGAGCACGCGCGAGTGGCTGGCAGTTGACATGGCAGCGCGGTATGCACGGAGAGCAGCGAGGTTAGCATGTAAAGTCTTGTTCGGATACATCTCTGTATTTCATGTTGTCTGGTCATCCGTCTGGGTCCCGCAACTCAACGCATGGCGCTGGTGCAGCGCGAGAGTGTTGCCCGGCAGACATTTTCTACTCGCGCGCATGGCATGCAGTGACCGCGTTAGTCTGTCAGAATCTGCGAGCCAGGACTCCCAAAAGCAAGAACCATGCAGGGAGAACGCACGCTGCTATAGACTGCAGGATCTAGCCATGGAAATTAACAAGCCACGGGAGCACCTCATGTCATGCATGGCCCGAGCATCGGCATCGAAAAAAAGGAAGGCAGTTGACAGGGTTGGTCCATGCAGAGGTGCGAAGAGCGCCGAGCCAGATCCCTCCAGTACTGCCCGTGGGTGGATCGTGTGTCAGTCAGCGAGGGGAACCCGCTGAATTCTGCAGTGGCAGCTGTCATGATGAAATAAACAAATGAAGGAAGGTGCCGCGCTTCGCTATTTCAAGTTAAGTTGCAACTGACCGATTGATGTTGGCATCACTGCACCATACAGAAAACTGAAATCTGAAAACTGTCGGTGACGAAGATTTTGGCTTAAATTAATCAATCGGTACTGGCACCCCCGCGCCATACCGAATGTCATGGACCACATTGGTTTGTGGCAAAACACAAATAACAGGCGTTTGTGTTTTCAGTGAGATCGATCCCGAATGTGGCGCCTTGTTCTTCCCGCTCAATTCCGTGATGTGCCATCGTCAGATCTTGTTCAAGTGCGCCGATGCGGCACAGCATTGCTTCCAACGCACTGCTGTTTTGCATCAACCATATCACAGACAAACGGAGAAAACACCCAAGCTCCTCCGATGTCGGCAGCCGTGGGTGGCGTTGGCGGGAATCGCTGGGAATGTGACCACAGGGTTGGCCGCCTGCCAGCACACAATGCGTATCTAGTAAAATATCGGCACTAGCAAGAACTCCCGTGCAGGTGGAGTCGGCAGGAGATTCCCCAGGGGCCCTGGTGTCCAGCGCCAGACACCCGAATCTACGAGAATCGTTGGATGCTGGCGGTCAGGATTCGTGGCCATATCGGCGAACAGGGACTTGCATGCGCCGTCGTGGCTCGCCACGCATTCTGCGCTGCTGTTCCCAGCAGGGGCTGAATGTGGACATACTGTGTTGAGTGTCAGATGCGCGTTTGGATACAACTGGCCAGCGTCTTGCCGTTCTGCAATCAGGCTACTGCAAAAGCATCTTGCGAATCTGAAACAGGCCATTAAACACACGTCTCGATATAGCCAGTGCAGTGTTTGGATTGCATGAACCCGCCCTGTTTCGACACATTAGTGTCAGGAGTACACAGGTACTGTGGTACAGTGGTGGTGCACGATTTGATCAGCTCAACGTGACCAAAGCATAAACGTGAATTGGGTCGTCATTCTAGCCCGCGAACAAAACAACACGAGGCTTCAGACGACTGGGACGTGCTTGGGTATTCTGGCAACATTACAGATGGAGCAAGCACTTTCATTTGTTGTGCCTCAAGCGAGGGCGAGCAGCATGCGCGTTTAGAAAATTGACGCTTCGAAGATTGTGCGCAGTTTCTGTTGTACAAGTTCGCTGTACTGCTCTTGCACTTGGGCAGCACACATGCGCATTTGCCAGGATTTATTTGATACAACTCAAATGCGACGGACACCACATGAAATCAAGCGCATTTCCTGCAACTCAACCATCGCCAGCTCATGCTATTCCAAGCAAAATGTGGTGCTCAACTATTCCAAGGAAAAAGCGATCCGACACAATACCGCCAGTACAATTTCGCAGGCGCCGTACATATCGCATGGTACCTACAAACCACGTGCCTTAAGTACGATCCTCCGCCCGCATACATCGCGACATACGTCCCATTGGCCCATTGCCCCCGCCCAACCGCTGGCGTCGTGCAACGAGAACACTTGCCCTCTCCGCACTCCCCTGCCACTCCCGCCCTCCGGGCGTCGCCACCCTTGCTCCGGTTGGGCCCAATGCCTGCCGCGGAGGCCGCTCAGGGGGCCCCCCTGGCCTCCATCTTCCACAACCCCTCCATCCTCGCCAAGGCCGTGGCGGGCCTGCTGCTGGCCGGCTACCTGGTGTCCCTGGCGGACGGCCTGCTGGCCTACCTTGCGCTCGTACCCGGCAGGTGCGCTGCCGAGATCTGTGGGCGGATCCGCGATCGAGTGGTGAGGCTCTGGAATAGCGATTGGCCGGGGCGGGATGCCGGGGTGGACATGCTGATTGGGTTCGTGGATTGTGTGCGGGCGCAGGACGGTCCCCTTCGCCTGGAACCTGGTCACCTACAGCTTTGTGACGGACAGCATCGTGGAGGTGGGGGAATCTGACGATCGCCAGCGCGCTGCTGCACGTCGGTGTCCCTACGGTCCCGCCGCGTTGCCTCTGGGCAAGCATTTCGGCCTGTGGTGATGATCTGGACACGCGGTGGAGACGCGGGCCATGACCGCCGTGCCGTTTCTCGCGGTGCTGTGACGGATGCGTGAACTCTTTCAGACTCTGTAACCGTCTCAAATCCTGCAGTCCCGGTTTGTGTGCCCAGGAAAGCGCTGACCTGCTTTGCAAAGGCTGATTGACGTCTGGTGGCAATTAGCAAAGCATGGCACATTCAGAATGACGTGCAGTGAACAAAGCACTGCCGTGTCGTGTGCCTTTTGGCCTTGACTCGTTGTGGGCACAAGTCTGATTCTTTGTATGTTGCAGAATACATTGCAACATACTTTGCGCTGCAACTAGCACTAAAATTTGTTGCATCTCCGCCCCGTGCCAGTGTGTTTCCATATAGGTCCGCAGCCTCCACAGTAAACCCTCACTGGGCCCCTTTGTCCAAATGAATGCTCTTGTTTGTGTGTTTTACAGCTTATTTCGTCTCTCCTGGGTTGGCTGCTTTTGTCCAAAGTGGTGGAGCCTGTGTATGGCGCCAAAGGCCTGCTGACCTTCATGCTTGCTGTGGCCCTGGCCACTGGCATGATGACGTTCGTCACGGCGTTCATCGTTTATGTTGCCACAAGGAGCCCTCACGTTCTGTGAGTATTTGCTGATCGTGTGGGGTGCTGCAATGAATGCATTTCGTTGGCATTGGACAGCCAAGCTGCCCAGACATTTTGGGCATGAATGCAGGCTACTGGGTTGTGGCAACATCGAGCAACAGTGGGACCATAGGACATCGAAGCTTTAAATACTGAAGACCAAATTGCTGCAGCCTCAGTCTTGAATAAGTTAGTTTAGTTTATTCATAAGTTGTGCTGTGGTTTCCTGCAGTTATCGTAATCTTTGTGGATTCCACGGGGTGTTGGCTGGACTTCTGGTCACGCTGAAGCAGATCATGCCAGACCAGGAGTTGGCACTGTTTGGAGTAATCAAGTTCAGAGGAAGGGTAAGTGCGCACCGATTGTCAGAATGAATTACAGCATACCTGTAGTGCCATTGCCCTTGGGCACAAATGCAGTTGGTAAATACGTCGCATCAATGCAAAGCCAAATGGTGCCTGCTCCTTGGAGGTGCATGCCAATGGTGTGCATTGTGCCAAGGGCAAAATTCATTTCATTGCTTCAATCTTTGTATTCTCAGTGGGTTGACAGTTGAAAGGTTGACTTCCCTGCAAGTGTTGTCTAGACTCTTGTGGGGCCAGCTGGAATATACAAAAGACAACTCAGAAGGTACTGAGAATATTCAATGCTCAGGGTTGGGGGATGTTGCCCATGGTGCTGTAGCCTGGCACCAAGTGTGCCTTTGCTGAAACTCCATAAGTGTTTGGGCACCAGAATTGCTGCTCTTGGCACGGCATGTGCAAAGGATACTGGTGCCATTCGTCATCGACGTTTGTGCGTTACATTGGAGCACGACACCATGCCCTTGCGACTGTCGCTTTCCTTTCATCAGCTTCTTCCCATCCTCAAATTTATTGCCAGCACCCCCATAGCTCTTCCACTATTTATTAGACGAATGACTCGCCTTGGGCACAAGGCTTTTGCTGGGACAATTTAAGCCGAAAAAGTTGAAACCAGAAAAGAAATGGCGTCTGCCGTCTGAGCAATTGAATTGTGCACATGCAGGCTGTGCTGTGCAACATTAAAAAATTGCAGTCTCTTATTCAGGCTAAGTTTGCCGGCTTCCCCCCTGCTGCAGCGACTCGCAAAAGACTGCAAGGGTCTCACACATCACAACCTTTGAAATGCTATTCTGCATTTGTGCCTGTTCATCGCATGTGTGTGCATATTGCAAGAAACACGGGCGTCGGTCCACGTTTGCTCCATGGGGATGTGAATTCTTCGCCGTCGTGTCACCCTTGCATTCCATTCCTCAAACTGGATCCTTTCCAACACTTCCCTGAATGCGTCACAAGCCCCTCAGCTGTTCGTGCAGTGTTGCAGAATAGAGGCTGAGCATTAATACACCAAAGTGCATGGTCCTTGACATCTGCTCTCTCTCCCTCTGTTGTGCGCAGCACCTCCCCGGCCTGTACGTGCTGCTGACAACCGTCCTGGGGCTGCTCAGCGACCCCCTGGGCGTCCTGCCCTTCGTCCTGTACGGCACCTACTTCTCCTGGCTCTACCTCCGCTTCTTTCACCGCAACCCGGAGACCAACCTCCGGGGCGACCCAAGCCAGGACTTCAGGCTGGCGTCCTTCTTCCCTGAGCAGGTGCAGCCGGCCGTGGACAAAGTGGCGGGCATGTTCCCGTCGCCAAAGCTGGGAGCAGTGCAGCCGCGGCAGCTGGGCCATGTGCTGGGGGGCACCTCGCTGACAGGCGGCGATGATCACGATGCCGCAAGGAGAAGGTGCGGTCTTGGGAAGCGCGAGGCTCCCGCAAATTGGGGCCGATTTGGGAGCCGTTTGTCAGCGGATTTAGCTCCCGGCACGCGTCCCTCCTGTCAACACTTTGATTTGCAGGCGAACGTGCGTGCACTGGAATTAGAAGGCTACTTATTCGACGTTGCGTGTGGTTCGGCCGCCTCATCTTTTATGCTCCAGAGCTCTCGTGTCCCAGAGTATTGCCAAGAATGCACGTATGTGCTGCTCAAGGCGTTTGCATGAAAAGTGGATGCCAGGCATTGCAGACTGTACCACCGTGTCGGCCGACAGACGCAGGCAGTTAAAATTCTGTAAATTGAAACAAATTGAATTAAAATACTGCAAGGTGGAATGACAACCATGCGAATGCCAGTCGACTTTGATTAGTTGTGCGAGTGGCTCGGCAAATCGAGCGCCTGCAGTTTACCTGTTGCCTGTCTGGTGACGCTTTTTCGAATTCGAATCCGATTGTTGTCCTCCCAAAGGCTGGTTAACCTTAATGACTGGCCCCAACACCAATGTCGTGCTTTTGATAAAAATGACGTGCCATTCAGTGGTCGTTTCTGATCAAGAACTTCAAGACTGCTTAGTCCGCTTGCACAAAAGACATGGCAATTCCGAATGCAACAGGAACAGCGTGCGGCGATGAGCGGCACAAGATAGTCCCAGGGCCCCGCTCTTTGCGTCGCGCCTGTGTCGCCGTCGATTTCTTGGTGCCATTTGTGGTGTATATCCACCGGCTGGGATTGCCACCGGTGCTCATGGGGCGCTCAGGCCTTGCGTCGCAGCAAGAACACTTAGCCGTTGCAGCGTTCTCCTTTGCATTTTGTGATCAATGCCGAGCAAGAGGCAAGTGGTGTGACGTCAGCCAATGTGGTGTTGGCCCCTGCGTGCTCGCAAAAGGTTGATACTTTTAGTTGGGCTGTCTGCTGCAAGAAATGGCCGCGCAAAGTTAGTGGAGTGTGCCACCAGCTGGCAAATCGCCTCCGGCCCTCGGCCGTACGCTCAGGAAGCAATTTGCTCATGTGCGCAGGGAACGGGGGGCACGAGCCCTCGAGGAGAGGATAAAAAAGCAAAAGGACGTCGACTTGGAGAATCCAGGGGGCCATGACGCAACTTAAGGGACTGGTCGTGAGTCTAACCCGCAGGCTCACTTGTAATACGTTTGCGAAACTTGGGTACAGCACCGTTGGAACAGTGGGAAAGGGAAGCCGATGCATCACTGGGATAGGCCCGACGGGTCTGGCGCTGAGAGGCATTTGGCGCGGGAGGCTGCAGCAATGTGCGTATGGGCAAGCCAGCAAGAGTGGTGTCAATAACGCCGTCCGCTGGACAGAGTGCGACGCTGGACCGCAGGCCCCGCGCACACACGCGCGTCGATGTCCCGCACACCAGTGGAAGGCTGTCGAGTTGGCGGCTCATCGCCTGGCTGGAAGTGGCCAGCGCCTCCCTCCCCAGGCAAATGGGATAAAGGCAGGGGTGGCGACGGCCCCTCCCCTCGAAGCTGGCCGTGACATGACTTGGCGCCGCCGCCCTGGCGAGGCTTGATGATGCCTGACAGGCGCAGCAGCGCTTTTCTATGTGCCATGTAACCGACGGTGTGACGGTCGATAATTCGAGGGCGGCGCTGCTTCGCCAGAACAGGCGACAGGTGGCGCAGCGTCTGCCTGCGGCGGCCCGTGGTCGCCAGAGTGTGGTACCCCATTCCTAACGATGGTCCAACGTGGCGCCTGAGTGCGTGGACCCTGTCGGATCGACAGCGCAAGAATTCGCGAAGCAATGGGCGGGCAATGCCGCATGGCAAGCTTCGGTGCCATCCACCAGGGCTTGGCATGCCGCGCGTTGCCCAGTGTGTGGGCACTTGTGGGCACACTGCCAAACGAGCCAACCAGCCGGGCATCCCTCCAACAGCCCCTGCCCCATAAACAGTTACAAACTTGGTGGCAAAAGGAGTTGAAAGGAAGGCCTCATACAAGGTCTATTAATTGCAATTCGCCAGCGCCAGTCGCCGTCGTCCATTGCAGGACGGACGCGGTTGCGAAGGGTCCTCCCAAAGGAAGCCCCCTGCAGCTATTCACCACCACACACGCACCGTGGCGCCCGAAACAGGCAGCCACAGTATTACCATTAATGCGGGCATTCCACCAAAACTTGGGTGTAGCGCTGGCCATGAATAAGTTCTAAAGGATAAGCGCCAGATTCGTAAAAAAAGAAAAAAAAACTCCTCCTGAGCACCGCCAACAACATTCACCAGTACATGTTTACCTAATTCGTGAGTCGTTCGGATGCCTCTGCCTACCCTGTACGCCCAGTTCGCAATCGTTACTCTGCTACGCCTATGTGATGGCTGACGCACAGTGGGGTTCCGTGCCGCAGCCACCCCCCCTGCCTTGCCATTCCCCCATCTCCCACAGCCTCCGCAGGGCGCATCAGGCTGCTGGCGGCCGCAGCAAGTGGTCTTGGCTGGTGTCCATGAATGGCATCCAAGACACGGGCCCCGGGGAGTAGGTCTGGCAGCTGGGCATGCTGGAGCTTGCATTTGGGATGTTACTCCCTGACGCAGGCGGCCCCACGGCAGCTGATGAGCCTACCTGGGAAGCTGGCTGGGAGGTGGACCCGAAGGCAGTCAAAGGGTTGATGGCCCCTGAGGAGGATGTGCCCGTCATGCCTGCGACGACAGAATCCCACATTAGGCGCGCAGAGAGGGGTGTGACTGCAGCGCGAAGCAGAGCAGGACAGATTGTGCCCACTGCGCCTCAACATGCGCGAATGGCACTTGAACTGGCCACCAGCTTGCAGCAGGCCTGCTCTCCGAACACTGCAAATGCCACAGATTAGGTTTTATGCACTAAAATGAGGAAGGAAATTTCGGAAATGTACTGTTGGTCCTCAAATACAAAACAAAGCCCACAAGCACATGGCCCATGGAATTCAGCACAGCACACTTCGCTCACCATAAATCCCTGATGTACTTCGGACAATGAGGGTTCAACAGTTCGTGGGCGCAACACCCCACTGGGAGTCATACAGTATGGGAGTGCAGACAAATGGCTCCTGAGTCCGGCCCGGTCTGGCTCCCAAGTGGGAGGTCTGTTGCGGGCATGGTGCTGCAGCAGATAGGGACGTTGCGATGGATGAGGGGTGTGGAGGGTCATGAACAAACACTGGGACGTTTTTGGGTCATCCTTGCTGCTTATGGACCTGTGCAATTGTGTGCTCTCAAGACGTTGGGTGTATTTTGCCCAGCTCTATGCAGCCTTTGGTTCAGGGCACAGGTTCTTCAGGCAATACGAGCTGCCCTGGCTGCACAGCCGACTGTTCTGCTCGTTTGTGCTTTACACTTGGCTTGCTAAATGTCAGCGGGTGCATAACACTGCACCTGACAAACCCACTGCATGCAGTGCACTGCACGAATGTGAGTGCCAGCCTATTCTGCATCTGAATGGGATTGGAGCTTCCTTTGTCTTTTTTGCTTTGCATTTTCCATGACTTCCAGGTGATACAAACAGTCACTCTCAAATGAACATTGCAAACATAACTGTGCCCATTATCACCGTGCAGGTGCAGAGAGGTGGAAAGTGTTGCCATGAGCCAACTGACCTGCTGCAGGAACGCCGATGGTGACCTGACACCTTCCCTGGGGAAGCGAGTTGAGTGGAAACTGCACAGCTGGCTGCTGCACTGTTGGCGTGCCTGACTGGTACTGGTTCTGGAGCATCAGGCTCTGCTGGTACAAATTCTTGCCTTTCTCCTTCTCTTGATTTCCAACCCTTTCCTGCAGGACACGCGCGAGGAAGGCAGGGACAAGTCAACTTCCCATTCGCTGAGCCCCAAGCCCACAAAACTGTGCCATCTGCAAAGCACCCGATGAATTGCAAGGTCACATTGTCTGCAAAACGAACAGCAGATGACACATGGCATCGAAACCACAAACCGATCGATCAACAGCAAGGTGTTGCACCTGGACCCTTGAGTGCGATCAGAGTAGAAAGGAAACAATCAAAACAACTGGCTGCTGGAAGGGGACGAAAGGAGATAGGAAGAAAGGGAGATGGGGAAAGGGGGAGGGGGGCAGGTGGCTTATCCGTGCACATGCGCTCCAGCCACGCGCGTCAGGGCTCTTTGGGCCCCACCCCCACCTCGAGGAATTTGTTCAGCTGCCGCAGCTGCCCAGCCTCGACCTTGAGCTGCGTGATGATCTTAATTGCCTCCGCCAGAATGGACACCTTGTCGGTCTTGGGGTCCTCGGGGTCGCAGAGCTTCGCCAGCTCCTGGAAGCTGACGCCGCAAGCCCAAGCCCCACGCCGATCAGCAACATCGACGGCTCAATCAACGCCGTCATCTTCAGCCACCTCCGGGGCCATTTTCGCGCGAGATGTTTCTCGTGAAGGGGGCCAGGCGAGAAGCGCGTGCGAGAAGCGAAGAGACAATCCGCCGGGCCTTGAGGGTACAGATGCAGGGCTTTGTCATGTGCTGACAAGTGCGATCAGACGACTCACGGAGGCCACCTCTCAGGGGCCCCAGCCCAAGCAACACCGCACGATGGACCCGTCCGCCAAATCCGCACCCGCCCCGCGCGCCGCAGACCAGGTTCCACTGGCGGGGACTCAGGGGTGCGACCACACCATCATCGGCTTTCAGCCACCTCGCTTCGCGGCGCGCAAACCGGCCCACTTCGTGAAGCGAGTCCGGGCGCGCGGCGCCCCAGCCAGCGCGGATCGAGCCCCAGCGGCGGCCGCCCCGGCCGGCATCCCGCGCGCAGGGCGCCCACACCAAGCCAGCGACCTCCAACAAAGCATCCCTCCTGGCGCGCCCAGGCAGCCAGCCGGACACCATGGGACGCCAACGCCCCAGCCACGGGACTTGCCCGCCGGCGGCAAACCCACGGATCCCCCGTCCCGTCACCCGGCGCCGCCCCGAATGCCCAGGATCGCCCCTCACCGTTCGTTGATCCGCTCCCGCCGCGCCTTCTCCCTGCACGCCTTGGTGCGCCCGCAGCGCCGCTCCATCCTCGGTGCCTTGCCCGACCCAGACCCAGACGCCTCCGCGCCCTCCTCCCCCTCCGACTCCCCCGCCCCCCGCTCGCGCTTCAGCCCCCTCCCCTGGCAGCCATCTCGTGGGGTCCGATCGCCCGCCAGTCCCGCCTCGAATCCCGCCAGCGCGTCGTCCTGCAGGAATTCAAGGTAGCCGCCGCACGCGGCGTCCAAAACGGAAAGGTCCAGGTCGGACTTGTCCATGGCTGGGCGGGGAGCGACGGAGGGCACTGCGGTGAAGCCTGTTGCCGTGGGGCCAAGGGGTGGCGCTGTGCGGCCGGGGGGGGCGACCGTGGCGGGTGACGGCAAAAGTGGGGCGGCCCGGGCGACAGAGACGTTGGATCTTGGCCCGTTTGACGTGGGGTGGTTCCAGCTGTCGGGTCACGGGCAGCATCGTCGGGTCGATGTACTCTGAGAGGGGGGATGGGGGCAGGGAGAAGCGACCCCGGCGCTGCCCGTCACAGCGCTGCCGTGCTTTGCGCCATTGGGGCACCGCGGTACATTACTAATGCACATTTTTCAATGGTGTGGGCGAGATGTGTCTGGTATGGGCGGGGTGTTGTGGTGTGATGGTACACCCATGGTACACTGCCCGCGTTGCAGCCCAGGTGACCCCGCGGCCTTGGGGAACTCAAGTGGATCATCCCGCATTTTCAACGGGGCGAGTCGCGCAAGGCGTACAGCTGTCCAGTGTGTGCGGGAGCGTCCAAACAAACAACATAAAACAGTTTCTGCACAAAAAAGCAAAAACAGCAGTACGCACAGCAGAGGTGCCTGAGAAGACAGAAGAAAATACAAAAAAAAGCTCCCCCTACCCCCCCACAGAAAGAACACATCACAGAAAAGCATCGAGAACACAGAAAACTCCAGAAGGCATGGCAATGGGAAGGTGCTGTTGGAACAGTGCTGTTTGTTGCTCAGTGCTTTGCACTCACACAGACAGACTGCCGGTACTTTGCGTGCTCGGCAGTTCAGGGCGTCAAGTACTGTTCCTTCGCTTCCGCTGCTTTTGCGCTCCCGCAACGGGAGTCCCATGCACGAGCATTGAGGCAGTACCCGTGGAGATGTCAGATAAGTGGAGAAACAGACGAGCGGACCGGAAGGAAAACAGGAGGGGGGTCGGAAACACGGTGTTGTGTTTTCACAAAGGGCGAACGCGGAACCGACAGCTGCTCTTATGCAACAAATGTGTTGTGCCTGACAGCTGTGGCCACAAAAGTATGGTGCAAGGACGCCAAGCTGGCCCCCACAATCCTTAACTTGTTTCAGTAGAAATGAGACCAAAGTTTTAGATCGGCGATCGCGATCTCCTACTCTTGCTCTGGCACAGATTTTTAATCGACTGCAGTTGATGCTAGTGTGCCGCGTTCAGCCTGGGATTAAACTTCTGGGCAAAATTTACTGTTTCCAGCAATTGCACCATTTCCAACCGTTTCTTGGTCTGATTGACGCTCATCACGCTGGGCTCACGGACAGGTACATTAGCAGCAAAGCTGTCGTTGTGTCACCTGTACCAAATCAACGGACAACCTGCTCAAAATTTGTCATCTGAAATCCAAAACTCACAAATACTGTTGCAACGTTTTCCTTGCCCAACACCCAACAGTGCCAATGGAAAGCTCAGTGGAACTATATAAATCAGCTTCCCGTTCCCAGACACGTTGTTCACTGTCGAGTCGCTCCACCGGGAACTATTTATGGCGAAATAAAAACTGCCTCCTCCAAAAGCTCACTCGTGGAGACAGCTGATGGCACACAGCAATCGCTGGGCAAATCTTGCTAAATGTCGACCACACAAGAGCCACCTTCAAAACTTAATCTGACGAGCGCTGCCTTTGCAATGCCATTATGTTTTTCTACCATCACATACTTTGCCGCATTTCTAGTCATGTCCTGGGCTTGGCATGTGCGCATCATACCGTAAACGAACACCAGCAACACTGCAACCGAGTCCCATGAGGAAGTTTGCTCCAAAGTTTTGTAGGGAGTTGGTTTTCTGGCGATCGAACCACGACATACCAATCGCTTCAATATATCCCGGAGCTCTCAACTTGGGCGTGTCCATTCAGTCAGTCTTGTCCTGAAGCTGACCTGCACTTTCCCTTTCAGTACCGTTCCCACATGGGAATGGCAAAACGAGTTCTCGGCACGCCAAAATGCACCGCAGAAGCTGCAAGCTCCTTTCCAATTGCAAAGTACCTGTTGGCTTCTGTGTCATTTCGCCGCCATGCACAAACTTGTGTGTTATTGTATTGTCACTGAAATAACAGCTGACGACAGCTTCCTGGTCACTAAGATCCAGAAAAGGACATACATTTTGGCAACCTTGGATCCCATTTGGCGCTACATTTACCGCACTATGGGTTTTCCCTTCACGCAATACATACGCGCTGCTTTATTGGATGAATGTGGAGCTGGCAGATACCTTCTTGCCTACATTTCTGGGGATGGTTCTTGACAGCTTGGATTCAGAGAATCCATCTGCTAAGCTTAGGGGTTTTCGCCAGTCTGAATTCACCCAGCTGTGTCCGTCTTTCGGCTGTGCTTGCACTCCAAGAAAAGATAAAAGCAGTTTGAATCAATTTGCGATTTGAGTAGTTGCATTAAGATGCATTAAGATGGATCTCATACCTTGCACGAATAGCGCCTTCGGAGCCTGGGTAGCGGGCGCCCCTTTGCAGAAGTGCACGCAGGAATGTCATGTTCTTGCGCATCGGAGGCGAGGAGGACATTGCCATGCGTCGCTGTGCCATCCAACCGAGAAGACCGGTGCCCGACATCGAAGTTCGGCGCGGTTTCGGCTGAGCTCATGGATTTCGGAGATTTGGGAAGATCTGGCTGCATGGGCTTGGCGCAGCCGGTCAGTCACATGGGTGCCACAACTAAACCTCTTTGCAGGCTGTCACAGACGACTTTGCAATTGGAGAAACGGATGCCTTCAGTACCTGGCTAGAGAAGACTCTCCAGTTTTTTGGCCCATCAAGCTGTTAGTTGATGTCAATTTTGGGAAGGTGGCTGCCAAGCACAACTACGTTGCACTTGCCATGGATGGTCACGTGGAAGTACAGATTTTGCACATGAGGATGAGCAGCTTGATGACATAATGTGTTCTATGATTCCACTTGTCCCAGGCAACTCGCGAGCACGCAGGGTATCTATGCCTAGGGCATACGTGTCAGCGGTGAGCCATTCACTGGCGTCAAAGTCTCCAGTACATAGCGTTTCTTTCGCGCATTCGACTGTGTTGTGACGCTCCAGGCTGTATGTCGGTAGCGCACGGCGCTCACAAAGGCAACAAAATCGCTGGCGCAGAGCTCAAACGCAGGACGACGACAGCCACAACCCATGCTGAAATACAGGGCGAGCGCGTTTCGCTGAGACTCGCGCCGAGAATAGGGCAGGAAAATAGCCGAATTCCAGAGCTCGAGCCGAAACAGCCGAGTTTCTATGGACTCTAACAGCGGCCTTCCAAGAAGGACAGCAGAGCGATGCAGAGATCGCTCTCCACGCCTTCCGGAGTTAGGAATCATGACCGCGTGCAACGGCGTGGTCCGCCAAGGGCACACGATGTGCCCACTCGGCGCCCGGCGCATGGAGCGGGACAAGGAAAAAAAAAAAAAAAAAAAAAAAAACGGCCAATCGAGCCCACAAAATATCGTTCCCAGCGAAGCAGCAGCATCGCCACCTCACCCCAATTCCGTCTTCCTCTCATTCCGTCTCATTCCGTCTTGTCCTATTCCGTTCAATTCCGTTTTATTTCGTCTAGTTTCGCGCGTGAAGGTCGTCCATTTTCGCCGCAGTCCCGCGGGCCCAGCGCCCGAGCGAGGCGTCCGCCGGGGCGGGATGGCCACCAAGGCGGAAGTGCCCCCCGGCTCGCCCTCCCCCGCCGACCAGAGCGCCAAGGCCGAGGAGCCGGAGAGCGATGCGCCCCAGCGGCCATCCAGGAGCCTGGCCGTGCGGCCGCCCAGCGTGGACTTCGGCGCGCCGCAGCCGGGCGTGTCCCAGTCGCGGACGGTCAGCGTCAAGGTGAGGGGTGGAGGCCGTCAGACAAAAAGTGCGGGGAGGATCGGATCGAGTCGAAATCGCGCGGGTGGCGGTGTGCATATTGGTCGATCGGCGGTGTGCACATCGCCAAAGGGGGGGGGGGGATCACATCTGACCCAACGGTGTGAAGTTCAGTCGGCCGTCCCAGCCCCGCTCAGGGGTTCTGTGCCGAGGACTTGCGTGGGTGGGTGCCAGGGCGGTGCCCTATGGGTTGAGTACTGGGCAGGGCGTGGACGGCGGGGGTGGCGGTGTCCAGCGGAGCATGGCCTTCGAAGGGGGAATGACGGAAAGGGGGGTGGGGGGGAGGGCAGGAGGCGGGGGAAAGGCACTGTGGACGACAGGGAAAGGATGCGAACCCCTGCGGGGCGTGTGACAAGCCGCCCCGGCCCGGAAAACCGCTATTCATTTTCAGGTCGATTCAGCACCGGTCTCCGACACCCAACGGGGACGGGGACAACCGATGGACAAGCGTGCTCTGGATCTGCGCTCGCGTCTCACTCCTGTGATCATGGTCCGAGGCCAGGGGGTCGCCCGTGACGGAGACCGCCCGGGCGAACTCACCTGGACGCTCCCCTGCTGAGCGCGAGCGCATTGCATGTCCATCAGGCGTCGTCAGGCCGCTCCCACTCCCTTGGATGGATCCGATCTTGTTGCCGCCCCACCGATAATGGGCCGGACGTAGAGGGTTAAAAGCGCGGCACGGCACGGAGTGGCTCAAAGGAGGCGTGCGCTGCCGCCTGTTGAACTGCCGGGACGGCAGCCCAGCGTGTGCCCAACCGCTCAGCGCCACGCTGCAGGCACATGCCTCGCCGTACTTCGGCTTTCGATAGGAGGACGTTGCTTAAACTACTGACGAAACTGCCGGGCCCGCTTTGTCAAACAGCGTTGAATTGGCATTAGGTTTGCGGAGGATGGGCTCGTGGGGCACCGACAGCACCGGGCGGAGTCCGCTCGAATTTGTAGTTCTGGGCAACCCACTCTTAAGATTCCATCATAGATATTGGGTGCATGTACATGTCCTGTCCTTTGGGCCTGGTCAGTCGCTTCAAGTGTTGGTCACATTCAGAGCCGCTTGAAGGTGTTTGAACCAATAGGAGCTTCTGGAAGGCACACGGGACACCCATGGTCGTGGTCCGTTCGAAGACCGTTCATCCTCTAAGCACACCTAACAGTTCAAACTGACTGGCAACTGTGGGGATTGCAGTAACAGGTGCTGAGCAGTCCCAAGGAACATTCCTTCCAGCGGCGATGAAGCGCTTTGCAAAGCTTGCCGCGGTTGAGGCAGTTGAATGTTGCACCAATTCCGCACTTCCCTGAAGTGGCCGCGTGCTCAGTGATGGTCGTGTCGTGTGCTCAGAACATCGACTCGCGGGTGCGCACAATTCGAGTGAAGGGGCCCAAGAATGGCCACGTGCAGGTCAGAGGCGCTCTGCCCACCACGCGCCTGGCACCCGGGCTGGAGTTTTCCTTCGAGGTGAGGCCGCTTTTTGCGGCGCCCATCAACCTGACACTGGCAAAACCTATCGTTCCTAATGCCGTAAAACCAATGGGGAAGTTTGCCATGCCATTGCGGTATAGCACAGCCCGAATTGGTAGTCCTGTGTGCTGATAAATTGCTGTCCCATGGTCTGGAAATTTGGCATTCGCCAATTTTTAAAACTGGCAAATATCTGATAGTTATTTGATAATCAGCAAATTTGGTAATTATGTGATTCAGCAGTCACAAAGCTACTACCGCAGTGGCCCGTTGCTACGTCTGTGACGTTGTCTCCAATTCTGCGCTGCATTGAAAATGGGGAATTAATAAAAAAAATAACAATAACCAAAAGTTAAGGCAAATGCGCTTTCAGCGTTGCAATGAATCACCCTTTCAGGCGAATGCCCAAGCGACTTACCGCGCAACGCTTCGGCCTTGCATCCACTTTAGCCGCAAACCGGATAAGACATGGAACCAGAGGCCCGAGATTTGAATTGCATCAATCCGATTCCGTGGTGTTGAATTCATTCAACACTAATGAGTTTAATCAATTAGTTTAGAGTGGGTTCTCCTCCGCAGGTCGTGTTCACACCCCCAAAAGAAGTTCAATTCAAAGACAAAGTCACTCTGCGCACTGAATCTGAAACCGTTGCGATCCCCATCACCATTGCCTGCCCTCGGCCGGACCTGCGCCTCCACGGGGACCTGGACTTTGGCGCCATGCCCCACGAAGCGACCTCGAAGCTGTCCATGCGAATCTCTAACGACGGTGGAAGAGAGGGAACCTTCCAGGTACTTGAAACCCCGCCAAACACAATCCACGGCAAAGTACTGCTCGCAAGTACTGCGAAATGGAGATGCGGGGCGTTCCGCTGATTGCGCGTTGAGGTCGCTGCAGCCTGGGCGATCTGGCGGCTTGGGATCTGTTGGCTACGACATCGCACTGTTGCCTGTCATCCGTACAGTCTGCTGTCATCTGCGGAGCACATCGCGGAGCTTGAATGATCGACATGCTCATGTTCTGTTTCGCAACTGATGCCCTGTGAAGACCGATTTTGGTTGCTGGTGCGGAATGTTGGGGGGCAGCTACACACATGGATTTTCTTGCCGTTTGAACCTGGCATTTCTTTAGGGTGCATTCGCCCGCTAAAGTTGGCACTTTACGTACACAGGATGGCGAAATTCGGAGTTGATCAGTAGAAATTGAGCTTAAGCTACACGTACTGTTATGTATTTTGCCGATATCTGTAGATTCGTGCGACTGACTTGAAACGTTGTTGAATCGCAGCAACTGTGGAAACAGCAAGCATTCTGTGTGAGGATTAGTTATCCGTTGAGAGTTCAGTGCGCAAGTGTTGAAAGACCTTGGGTGACTTATTGAAAATTTCCTCTCAATAGATTACATGTCAACTGTCGGTGAGCGTTGTTGCGACCACCGCGACTGCATGCAGTGAGGACTGATTGGGAGCATTCTATCACATCCGCAGAGGATTCCTGCACCGAATATCTCGGCAGCAAAAACGATAAACGTGTCATGCAGTGGGCTCCCTTCCCGAGTGAAGCGGCGAAATTGCGCGGCACACTGCGGAGCGCTGTGCAGAAGATCTGCGGCGATCTGCAGCTTGTTCACTTAATTGGTCGTTATATAAACACGAGTCAAATCGAGCGTCGCATTCTGGGCCCACCACTGAAAACAAGCCTTTCGACTCTCTGAAGTTTGCCAGACGCTCACAAAATCACAACGTAATGTGATTAGAAATGTCGGCTCGCCTGCTGTCAAGTGAGTTCTATTTTGCTGACGACGCCCAGATAGAGATTCAGGAAGGGTTTCCACTGAAGATATCGCCGATGAAGGGCTCGGTGTCGGCGCACGGTTCTGCGGACATATGCGCGTCGATATTTGGACAAGAGATTGGGAGCATCACGGGGGAGGTCGCTTTTCATTTGGAAGGCAAGGATGTGAAACGGATAGTTGCGGCGGCCGCCGTAATGAAGCAATCGTTTCAAGTCGTCGATTCTCACGGAGCGGAGGTGAAAGAGGTGAGGTTGTTCTTTGTAGGGAGAGTAGCTTACACGAGATCAAGCGGGACACAGCCGATCAATTTATGTGCGCAAGGCTCGCTTGTTGCGGTCTTGGTTGAGTTTCCAAACTTGGTCCAGATTTTTGGTGAGTAGGGCCCTGAGGCAGCGTCTGCACAGCGTCTTGAAGTGCTCGAAAGTCACACATGAGTTTAATTTCAACCACCAACGAAGTTCCAGCTGCATTAGCGACTCCCTTGTAGTGTGGTATTATGTTGCAGTACTTTGTGTGTGAGCAGGTGAATCAACAGTCCACAATTTAGCTTGCTGATTTCACCCGATACTCAGCGACGAATCATTGATAAAGATGGTATTGACACATCGGCAAATGAAGAAGTGCCAAATGTGGTTTTGGCGGCCATGCAATAGATCCTAGGGGCAAATTTATATGGTATTTGTCTCTATTTATCTAGCGCATAACTCGCCCATTACTTCCAATAACAGACTCATGGGATGGTGTGGATTTCAGGAGTGGACTGCATTTGTGCCCAACTTTTGAATTAAAACAACAAAACTTTGCCTGTGACAGTAGTCGAATTCTTCAGAAGTATTTATCTCAATACTCGCATTCCAACTTATTCTTGAAAGATAAAGTTGCGTCCACAAAGAAAAAGCGTCCGTGTGAGAGACAAAATTTACGCTACAGACATCCATTCTGCATTTGCAGCTCATGGAGAAATACCGTTCTTAGCTGCTTATGGTGCATGCCCTACTGAGAATGCGTGCCATCATTGCATTGTAAAAATTGAATTGCAATTGGCAAGCCAATCACTTGCCCAACAATGCAAAGTAGAGAACTGGAACACAGCGGTATTTTTGCGAGTATAGTAAATTACACAATGGTGTCCTTTTCCTACTGGAGATGCTGGACCTGTACAACGGCCATTTGGTCATGTATTGCTTCCGAAAGCGCTGCTCCCAACGCAAAAATGTTGATGCGTTTCCCGCCCATCTCCCTACAACGGGATTGCCCTCAGCCAGGTGGATTTCGGAACGCTGTACTATGGTGAAGAAAGTTCAGCTGGCCTGAGGATAATCAACAACGGGCCCAGAGAAATGAGGTGCACAGTCTCATTCGGAAACAAGTTCGCCATGGCAGAGGAGGAACAGGAGATGGTGGCGGATGGCAAGTCTGAGACGCATTCCGAGGACTCTGAAGAAATTCGGGTGTGCTGCTCCCGGCTTGTCGTCCTTTTGAAGGAATGCGCCATCTGCGGTGGTGGCTGATATACGTTTTGCACCCTACAGGCAATCCGCGCCTTTGCGCACGACTATAATCAATTTGACGTGGGCTTGTCATAGGCGCAGACTATGCGAAATGGAAATATCTTGTCTATCGAGTTTCATGTCAATAGCCATCTCAAATGCTGCATCCCCCTTTGCAAAGAAAATTTCTTTGCATTCTGCGTTGCTCTGGAGCATGCTGGGCCTGGTTTACTCAAAGCCTGCCCGGCCTTCATGATTCGCATGTGCAGTTGCATTTGCCAACACACTCACGGCAAGCGATCATATTTGAGGGGTGCTTCGATGCGAGTTTTCTATGCCCTCCGGGCAAGGAGAATGACGTAAAATGGCGTGGGCGCCATGCGCACAACTTGGCGAGTCGCTTGCAATGCTGAATTCGTGGCAAACAGGAATAGAACGTAAGCAAAGGATTTTCAATTGTTTTTCGTGTCGCTGCGCAGCCTTTTTTTACCCCAGTGTGTTTCCAGGTGGACCCCTTTGCCAGCTTCATCCAAGCAGCCAGAATGAAAGCACAAGCAAACGAAACAGGGGAAAATCCTTTTTCGGTCAACCCACTCAGCATCGTGGTACCCCCTTTCAAGGATGGCAACATCGTGGTCCAATTCCACCCATCTGGGCTGACCACGACGAAGGTTGGTGCGAATGTGGTGGCAGCGTCTCAGACGCCTTTGTAACTCTGCATATATGGCTTTCTGTCACCAAATCGTTTGAAATGAGGAGAGCAATGCATTCAATGCTGTGCCGCAATGAGCAGACCAATATTTTCAGCTTCGGCCCATCGCACATGGCAATACCAAGCTGGACACCCAGTGCCCTTCTTTCATACAATCTCCCTTTTCTTCACTCCGTTTTCTTGCGCATCCATTCCGCAAGCACTTCCAATCACAACTCCATTACCAATTTATCGCCGAGCCGTGCAACGAGAGGTTTGTGAAATGGTTTGCAGTACTTCACGCTGTACTAACACGAGGTGCGGAACCCACAGGAAAACGTCCTCGATTCATTAATTTACATCTTTGCCTTGTCATGTACTTTCTCTCGAAGTGTGTGTGGTGCCGCCTGACCAATTTTTTGCCATGCGGTCCACGATGTCAGTGCACCTCGCCAATGTGCAGCGAATCCGTGCTTAGTGTATTGGCACTCTAAATGCACTGCGCACTTCAACGTAGTTCGAATAATGCATTGCACGCCTCAACGGCCTTCCCCTCCCGTGCCTGCAGGGCTTTACCGCGAACGTGGGCAAAATGGGCATCCAGGTGAAGAGGTACGATTTTGTGGGTCAGATTGAGTTCGGCGGCGTCGCGGAGAAGATGCGTTTCCAGATGATTGGCCGTGGGGTTGAGTCATCGGCCTCGCTCAAGCAGAATTGCCTCAACTACGGGATTGTGCCGACGTACGATCACGCGGACCAGCCCCTAGAGATTTCGAACGCAAAATGCGATCTGCCCATAAGGTTCAAATTCCCCAAAAAGTCGCCTTATTTTCAGTGCGACCCGCCCGATGGCGTCATTCCGCCGGGACAAACCACTATGCTCATCGTCCGCTACTATCCCAAGGTGGGTTCTTCAATAAAGAAAAGTGAAAACGAAATGAAATTCGGTTGAGTGACTGGTAAATTAGAATTCAAATGTGTAGACAGAGGTACAAGAAAATAAGAAAGAAAATGCTCGGCCAACCGCCCCCGTGCAACTCTCTGTATTGAGCTCAATGCAATGTGAACGCGCTTTCGGTGAAAGTGACTGCATTCAAAGTTTATCCTATAATGTTTCAAAATAAAAAAGGTATTCTTAGAAAGAATGGCACGTGTGGCATTTCAGCATTGAATGCTGTTGTCAACAGCTCGATGCCGGAAGTTAAGTAGCACTGCAACAAAGTTAAACTCAAACGCGATGCAGTGATATTTCTTAGCACCGGCGATCTCAGAGATCGGGAGCTATTTGTGGCCAGTCTGGCGAAAAAAGCAGTGGGCGACTCTCAACGGTCAATGAATATGTAATAAAGGGTCGCTACCTTTCAAAAGAGTCTAAATGAAATGCATGTCTGCACTCAGCGACATCATTACGCCCCTTCAGCACGAAATCCCACATCCGATTTCTGACACCTCGCACAATTCTGCCAAGGGACTGTCTGTTCGTTTTGGCGTGCGCAAGGGCGAAATGCACGAGTGGTAACATTCGACCCGTTTTGGCAGTCGCTGGGCAACCACAGCAGCACCATCCCCATTCAGATATGCTCCTTGAGCGGTATGCCCCTGAAGAAGCTGCGACTCAGGGTGGTGGGGGTCTCAGTGGAGGTCGGCAAGAAACAGGAGCTCGTTCAGGGAACCGACAAGCTACCGGAAGACTTCAAACGCGCACCCAAATTCGTGGACGAGGAGCAGGTGACGATGCACAAGCAGTGTTGATAGGTGTTGCAAAATTTTGTATAAATTTTCCAGAATTGAAGTGGGAACTGTTATCGAATTGATTTGCACATCGTTCAACGAACATGGCACCAACTGAGTGCGTCAGATTGTATAGGTTGACGCAATCACTTATGTACAGCATAGCGCATTTACATCATTGTTAAATAGCTACCCTGGCGCAGATAATTGCGTGATGTACTGGCACTGTGCCTTGCAAAGCGCAGTGAGCCAAAGCTCCGCCGCAGCAAAACATGTGTGTGAGATTTGGTTTCCGCATTTGGTCAGGCGTCCTCAGTCGCTCGGAAGCTGCCTTTCAAGCGGCCCAAGCTGTGGGAAGACAAGGAGAACAATCGCCTGTTTAGCGACATCGGGGACGGCACGGTGCACGGCCTGAGTCTGGATGACTACAAGAGGCAGAAGAGGCACAAAGAGCAGTACGACAATTTCATACAGGAGAGGCGCCTCGCGAAGGAAAAGGGCCACTTGAACGCACGGGAGAAGGAAAACGACGTGAATCTGGGAATGGAGCCGCGCAGGTGGGCTGGTTGGTTGGACTGGAGAACTCCAGGTGGTCTCAAGTCCCTGGAGGTATCAAGCTCGTCTGGGCCAGGCGAACTTGGGTGAAATCGACGGCTTGGCAAAGCCCATTTCACGACCATGCATGGTGTCTATGGGTCTTTTCTAAAAGAGTTGCGCTCCACAGCGCGTGGAATGGCATCACTTGTCTTCAGCGCCTGCTTTTTCGTCACTGGTATGTTCATGAAGCGAAATTGACCAAATAAGCAGCTTGCAGCTCATGTCTGGGCACATTTACCTGACAATTTCTATTTGAAGGCAACTATGCGCAACTGGCAGGTGCTTAAAGGGTGATGTTGACGCCAACAATCGAGATGTCGCTAGTACTTGTTCTTCTGCGGAAGTTCATATAAGGGAAGACGCAGTGTCGATTTTGTTACGCTTAGCGTCAATTTCACATTAAGCTCAGACCCCACCCAACCACGACCCACCCCCTCCTTAGTGTCAATCCTTATGTCGAAGCCAGGATGACTCAGCATAATTATGTATTGATGTGGTGCCAGTTTATTATGTTTTGAAGAAAGAAAGGCTGCCAAGACTGCAGCAATTTTAGTGGTCTGGAAACTGAAATGCAAACAGCCATAGCAGATGATGGCGGGCAGTTTCTGAAGACTGAAAGCCAAGGGGAAGTTCTTAGACAATTCATACGTTTATTGCCACTTTTCTGCAGCTGTTTGGGTACCTTACAAGCTTTATGTCAATTTTCTTGTAGTTACATAATCTCTTAGCATGACAGGTCCCCCCCAGCGTCAAATTGACGCTAAGGGTAACAATTTGGACATAGCGTCTTCCCTAACTCAAAATGCAAATGCCCCAAAATTTGCACAATGGCCTTTCAATGTACAGTGAAACTTCGATGTCACGATGTTCGGAGCGAATTCTAGCCTCTTAGTTTGTGCATGGCCTTGGTGCGTACAGTGGATTGGAGAGTCCAAAACTGACGCGCGTCCATCAAACGGATCCCCTCTGGACGAAAGAAGACGAGGAAGAGAAGTACCCAAAGACGCTGAAAAGCATCACAGCAGAACAAGCGGCAGCCATAAGACTTTTCAAAGTGAGGCAGTTGATACAAGTTGTCCGTCCGTTGTTCTTCTGCCTGTTTCCTATCCTACTGCGGATTATTTGCGGCATGCACAATGCACGATGTGAACCATATCAAAATGCTCGCACTGTGACCTTTCAATTAGCTGTGATTAATGGAACGCATACTTTGGGCAGAACGATGAAAATTGTTAGGGGCCCAGCTCACTGCCCCGTAGTGGTTAGTGGTTTGATGATGGCTCGTTTGTTCCAAAGTCGGTTGTCTGATGGTATGCCCTGAAATTATAGGATTGTTCTGCCAGGCACGTTGTTCGCTCGTGCGCCCGCAACGCCGAAATGTGTCTGCCTCTTTCTGCATGAAACAATAGAAAACCTAGAAAACGCCATGTCTGCGATGCCAACTGCGATGCTATTTTGACACAAAGTGATGCCGTCAAGGCGATTGCAATGGGATGAAGTGGCTGCGGTCGCATGAATTTGTGCCATATAGCATCGCAATTGGCATCGCAAACAGGCTGTTTTCTGCCGGCGAAGCATGCAGGAAAGATGGAATCGGCCTTCTGAAGAATTGTGCGTCGCAGCTGATGCACGGAGCGACTCCGTCGATTCCGCGCATCCCCACAGGCGTTAGCGATGCATTTCTTTGATGTATGGAAATGAAGCTTGTGCCTACAGAACGTTCAAGTGAATTCGCACGTGCGCTGCTGGCTTGGCTGTTCTGAGCGGTGCATGTGCAGCTATGTGCCTCGACTTGCACCGAAGTTTGCAAAGCTGTCGCTCACTTCGTCCTCGTAACGGAGGGCCATAACCTAAGTAGGGATTTTCGGCGCGTTGTTTTCCGCGGACCGTGCGCTTTAGATTCGGCTCGCAAGCTTCCTCTCTCCTCAAATTTGGAAACAGAAATAGGACATCAGTTGAGCCATGTGATTGCAGCAGCTACCAAGCGAAATTCGTCTGATGTTGGGTCTTCGTCTCTTAAAACACGCTAGCCATGCCTCTTTCAATCAAACAAAGCGCTAAAACACTGCAATGTCGCTCGTGCGTACGTATGTATGTACGTCATATGTACGTACGCCAATTCGTTTACCCATCTGAGCAGCTACGCAGTCTTGGACGCAAGGGAATAAAGCGGAAGAGGAATATCCAACCCTTTTTGGAAATGCTAGCAACTGCCCTCTATTTCAACGAGGGAATGCTCGCCGATGATGCTTAAAAGGTAGCTACTCTTGAGTATCATCTGAGAATCGGAAGAATCGGAGAATGGGATGTGGCCTACTCTCTTCCATATGGCTTATGATCCGCAGACTCAAACACATTTAGATCCATATGCACCACTCCACCAGGACAAGGCTGAATCCGAGGAAGAGAGGCGCGCGTGCTCCTCCCCGCTCAGCAACTCAGACATGGCGAAGCTGGGAGTGGGACCCCTGACGGTGGACTTCGGAAGGGTCAGCAAGTCGGCGCGCCACACGCAGTACTTCGTTGTCAACAACGCCCTCAGCGCACCCATACATATAGTTCTGGACATCAAGAGGTTCCAGGAGTTCAAGTACACAAGGAACACGAGTCAGGTGGTGCCTCCAGGTGAGAAGAGTCGGTACCCTTCAGGTAAAGAAACGTACGGGATTGGCAATTCTAAACTGAACAGTTAATGTTGATGCTAACCAATAGCATTTGTTTCCGATCGCTTTCCCGAAAAGTTTCTGGTTCAGTTCCTTCGCTGTGTGGCATTGAATTGGGGGTGTGGATGACTGATACCTAAGATTGTGCTGATTGAGATGGACCGCAACTTCGTTCAGCAAATTTTGACTTGCTCTACGGCTGCCTCGGGAATGCAATTCTGAGGAGAATCCTCCGCACACGGGTGCTGTCCTGTTGCTCTGCAACATGCCGCAGTAAGGGCTCAATTTGAAAAGTCTGTGACGTGTTAACTAGCGGCGCAAAATGCGCACATTTGACTGCCGCCTGGACGAGCGCACTTGATAAAAAAAGGCCAACGGGAGACTGCTAGATTCCCTATTTCTCTTGGTCCGTGTGACAATGATGAGCGACGCGGCTCCGTAGTGGACAACGGAGAAGGGCTGCCCACAGGACGCTGCCCACCTGACGCCCGGCTGAGCCAGCATTGAATGGAATCCAATGGCTTCATGTGGCGCCAGGGGCCATGGCGAAATTTCCCATTGTGCTCTTTTCGAAAGAGGTGATGGCCGTGAGCAAGAAGATTGATTACATCATTAATGGACGGCATTTCCTAGCATTTGACGTGGACGCCACGGTGGCGGCGGCCAGCGTGGATCTCTCTGAAAGGGAGATCATCTTCGAGTTCGAAATGGATAATTGGGAGCACTTCGTTGATCAGGTGATGATTACTGAAGTACCTTTTTGCCCACACGATCGACATCCATCAGGGTTGACTGTCGTTATTGACACTACCAATTATTTGTAGATTGCTTTGTCGATGGTTTGATTTCTGAAAGTAATCGTTGTTTAGTTGGACATTATTTCTGCTTAATTGGCATTGGAAAGCACCAAGATTGTAAGCACATATTTCTAATTGCCCAGAAATTTCATGAATGTACTTTCAACCCACGTTTGCTGCAAATTGAATCGTACTGTAGTTGAAAATATGGATCTGTCGCAACCAGTTATAATGCGTTGACTAGGAGAGGCGATGTGAAAATGTAGTATCCTGTCTGCGCTGGCATCATCTGCCCCTATCCATACGATTCACAGATTTTACCATGGGTTCCATGATAAAATCAATGTGAGCAGTTATATCTTTTGAATATGCAATGTTTCGCCTGGCTTATCGTTAAAATGAAATTTCATGGCGTGCTTCAATTGCATTATGGCGCTCTCTTATGCTCACATAATGCAATAAAGGAATCAATGATGACCAATTTCAGGGGTCAACAATGCACACAAACAGAAGTGGACATGAATGTATGAACTTGGAGTTTATTGATTCATCAAGGCGATTGTGCATCCCTGCATCGATCACCTCAGATTAGGCGGGTCCGTTTCAACACCGTCATAATGAACAACAATTATGTGCGTGCGTATGTGCCATTGATGGGATCGCCAAATTTATCCCACCCAGAATGACACTAGAATCGCAATGCGATCCCATGATCCGAGAGGAATTTTAGTCTACCCACAATTCATCATAGCTTCTAAAAAGAATATACCATATCACATCAAATGAAGCTTTGGGGCATATGTACAGGGAGCACTCACTGCTGTTGTACTAACTACTAACTTGCTTGTCTATCCTTTCCGTTCCTTTTCTGTTGGTGATCAGACCCTCATCATGGACAACCCTAACCCGTTTTCTACCGTCTACGAGTGGGAATGCAACTGCGATGAATTCTACATCGACCCTAAATCCGGCACAATAGGACCCAACAGCTCCCAGACCACGTGCGTCCGATGGACGCCGGACGCAGACGCCCCCCCGGAGTCGCACGACGGCGTCATGATCCTCTCGCTCCAAGGCGGATCAGAAGGATCGAAGAAGGTGCGGCTGCGGGGAGAGCTCCCGGAAGTTTCCGTGAAGTTCAAGGAGCATGCCATGGATGTGGGGCCCGTGGCGTGCTCGGTGCCGCAGAGCGTCGGCGTGGAGATCAAGAACACTGGAGCAAACGATGCGGCGTTCAGAGTGAGAGGCGGTGCATTCAGCGTTTTAATCAATGCGCCACACTCATCTGCTGCATCAGTTCTGCCAAATGTTGCCATGGCGCAACGAGGCTGTATGTAATAATCGTGGGCCACGAATGTGCCGCACCAAACTGCTGAATCAATGCTGCCGAAAATATTACAATGGTGCAATGGAAGTTTATTTAGTAGTCGTGTGACACGTTTGGAAATATCTGAATTTTAAAACTGGTAGTTGGTACGTTTGGGCAACAGGAGGAAGCTCATATCACATTACAGAATTCTTGCAATGCTGGAGATAATCAGCATGTTAATTCATATATGTGTTTTAATGCGCAGCGCAAAGCAGTTTTCAAATTTCCGCCGGGAAGCGCACATCTTCCTTACAACGCGCTCCAGAGACAGTGACCATACTACCCAACTTATTCAATTTACATGCCGCAGAATTGACTTACGCTATGCGCTTGACTAATGCCTGCATGCTTCCGCAATGCGCGCCACAGGTGGTTCAAAATTCAATGTCGCCGTTACGATGCACTCCCAGCAAGGGGCTGGTGGCTCCCGAAGATTCTTTCACTCTTGAGGTGGCCTTCACTTGCGCCGAGGAAGGAAAATTTGTGGCCCTTCTGGAGATCGAATTGCGCAATCACCAAATCCTCAAGCTGCCGATAAGGTTGGACCGAGGCGTTGCCATGGCGCAACTCTGTGGCCATAGAGCAACGCCCATTCCGAAAACGCGCCCGCGTTGCGTATGCATTTTGTTGATGGCAGCATATTCTCTATTATGACGACTACGCACAGTAGTGAGTTTGAAAATGTGCCATCGGCGACTTGCCTTAAGGCACCTCCATGCTGCGCCACTTTCTGCTTCAAGTCTCGACATCCAAATTACTGCATTCTATACATTACAACATTTGAAAACCATTGGTTGCCCTGCTTTCCACATTGCAGCGGTTACGCTCGTTCACAGCGGTTGATCGCGTTTCAATTTTGGAGCCCACATTCTCACGCCAGTCATCTGACGCGCAGTGCGCTGGCGGTGGTTCCATGCGTGGACGTTGTCGAGCCCGGATTCGACTTTGGCGCCGTCCACATTGGCGGCCTCTCCCGCCTGCCCCTCACAGTAAAGAACACGACGCCCGTGGCGGCCACCATCCTCCTGGACTTCTCGGCCCTCACGGACTTCGAGATGGCCATTCCGAAAGACAGCTGGAGCACGGAAGAGTACGAGACCTGTCCCCTGAAGAGGGCCCACATGGACTCCGACAGCTTTTCAGTCTGCAGCGCCAGGTTCAGCAAGAGGTGAGAGTCGAGGCACAAAGACCAAACGAGGCCAAGCAAGGTCTACTTTTTAGCTCGTGGAATTTGGATGCTAAGATGTGCAGTGGCGATACTGTCATGAGATATCATAGCATGAAAGTTTAATGCTCTTTTACAAAAATACCATTATGTATAATGTTAACATTTTGGAAACATTGAAATTTCATGTTGTCTATGCAAAGAGTTTTTCTAAGTGTGCTTGTGAGGGAAAGCTGGAAACCAAATTTTATGGGACGAGGATGGGGTTTTGGCGACCAGGGTGCGACCTTAGCGAGCGCCGGTCGAGCGCCGCTTGATGGCCACTCTGTTCTGCATGCGGCACCAATACCAGTCGATCCCGAGTCAGCTTGTCGATCGAAGCGAGCACAGCCCACTGGCACTATTGGCAGGCCGTGGGCGCCAGGTTCAGCGATGCCAGCAACCACGGCTGGCCGCCTGGGCGCCCCTGATAGTGTAGCCTACCTGCGATGTTTGTGACTAAACAAGCTTTCGTGCAAAATGTCGGTAAGAGGGTCACGGAAAACAACAAAACATGCATTTTGCGCACAGGCAGAATGCAAGAAAAATACCACAACAACAAACCTACGCACAAACAGGCCATTTTTGGGTCACCCAACGGACAAGAAAACCACAATATTGCGCACAAAAAAGGTGTACCTTTGCGCGCGCCGCGCGCGCAAACACAGGCGAATATCGCTGGGCCTAGTGCGTCAATGCACGGGGTCGGTGGGTGAGGGGGGAGCGGAACCCGTGTTGTACATGTTTTTTTTGTGAAAACTTTCTTAAGCTTGTGATATAAAGCATGAAAACTGGTGTTTTAAAGGCATTCATACTCTTATTTTTTAGTGCACTCAGAAATGGCGATATTGCGCACAAGTTTCCTTGTTTTCTGATGGACAATCTTGAGCACAACCATTTTGCCCAAAAAAACACATAATCGCAATGTTGCACACAAGTGCGCCCTTTCGGACCTTACCGACATTTTGCACGAAAGCTAGTTACTAACGGGAGCCATGCATGATTGGACGCATGGATCAACTCGATTCTGGTGACCGCAATGCTGGAGAAGGTGTGATCCATTAATTGCGTTCCACGTGGCAAAGCCGTTTCTTTGCGCATTGTGGGAAACAGCGGGCATGTGTACATCTGAGAGCGGATTTATGTCCCACATTCAGAGTATCGGAACGGGACGTTCCGGCATTCCGACACGCCGACATCCCGACATCCCTACTTCGGGATGGCCCATGCCGACGTCCCGAATGTGGGGCATAAAACGCTACTCGATGGCGTCGAGGACGGAAATGACGATGGCGATTATGGCGGCTATGCTGCGACTGCAGCAAGCAGGATATCTTCCACATTTCTTTGCCAGCATCCTGGACTAAAGTGTGTCCAAAGAGTACCGTGTCCTGTCTCTAAAATCCCAATATCGGGCTACGTTGCCGGGTTTTCCCGGCTACGGAGGAGGGTCGCGTCGCCGCTTGTTGCCCTTGGCGTCATTTGGAGAACTGAGAGCCCTGCCGACAACCGTCGATGGCCCCGAAGACCTTCACCCCCTCCCCCCTTGCGGCAATTCCGCAGACGCTGCGGAAGCCCAGCCATCCTTCCAACCCTTTTCGGCTACGTCGCTGGGGTCCCACGCCGCCGTCCCCGGCGACGTCGCCGGAGGTTGGGCCTTTTCTCTGTCCTGTGTGTATCATGGTTATGGCGATCCCCACGGTGCCCAAACGACGGCCGCTGCTAGGCACAGAAGCAAGGCTATATCCAGATGGATTGCAGGACGAGCTGGCCAATCAAACGTTGTCAAAGTTTGCTGCCACTATGGTCAGCTACACGCCCCACAACTCCATATCCCTTTCACCTCGCATAACACCATATTCACCATATCCGTTTCCACTCCCTTAGCACCATGTTCTTTGCAATACCTTCTCACATTTTTTCCTAGTTGTCACATTGATCATCGGATTTCATGTAGAGGGAACGGCTTTGCACTCTCATTTTCTGCCTGTATCGCCGAAGTTGGAATCGGACGCCAGATATTCTGTTGAGGTCGCTGAAATGGGCATGTTTTCAAGTTTATCAGCAACGTAGATGACAATAAATGAATGCATCCTTGACCGAAAAACAACCTAATGCAACGCTGCCTCTCCTGGGGTGGCACCACAAGGAGGTAAAGTCACATGCCGCATAATGTCATTGTCAGCATGCGCCACATAGTCCCGTGACGAAAACAGGCACATCCATGCCCTTCCAGTTATGCGCATACAGATTTCGTGAAGTAGCTGTAGAGAAGTACTAGGCACTTCTTCTGTCCAGAATTACATGGCGCATTTTGTTCGAGAGGCCAAATCCATATCACACATTTATCTATTGTTTACAAAAAAATTAGCAGCACCTACTCCACCCATATGTAATGCTCTGGTAAAGCCTCGAGTAAAATTATTTATTATTGCGCAAACGACAGTACTTTGGATCAGCGCAACGCGGGGCAGCGTCGGAGAATCTCAAGGGACCCCAAGAACGCCCCCCGAAGAGGCTGGCCTCGCACTTGACGCACCAAGAAATGGATATCTGCTCCCGCCGCTGAAACAGCAGGTAGGAGCCGTCCCTGAGACGAGGTGGGACATTGGGGCCGGGCTTACAGCCACCCGATCGTCGGACCCCACTGCGGATTTGGCCGTGCAACAGATGCACATCCGGAGATCGGAAATCCGAAAATCCGCCGCTTCATCGAGGTCCGCTCGAGGTTCCTTTCAGCGCACATCGCCGCCACTGACGGGGTGCGCGAGGCTAGGAAAGCCGCTGTGAAGAGTTTGGAAGGAAGGCGCCCCCGTCCTTCTGCACGTGAGCAGAAAGGTCGCCAGAAATTTCTGGCGATTTAGATGGCCATTTGAATGGCTCTCGCGGGATCTCGCTCGGCAGAAGGCTGCCGGGGCTATTCGCAAAGGATACTGAAAGGCTAGCCGCACAGACATTAGGAACTTCCATCTGCCCATCGAAACATTGCGCGGCCGAGATTCGCGGGACATCACGGCTTTTTCAGGGACATGTCTCTGATCCAGGCGCGCCACTTGCCTGCAGGCCGCGACGGAACAGAGAGCCTTTGTTGCACGCAGCGATAACAGGGCGGGTCTCAGGATCCCTAAGAACCTTTTAGAAGGAGTTGAACCTACACACGTCCGTGTGTCATTGCCACATGATGATTCCAAATCCTGAATATTGGCAATGGCGACAAGCAGATCCCGGGGCCGTTTCTGCCGGCGCTCCACCACGGCGGTTGTCGGTCATTGAGCTGGAGCCCTGGTTGCGTGAGCGGTTCTACTTTCAGGGCGCTGTGGAGACCACTGGAAAGGCTGAACTTGAGAGTGGGGCGTTCCTGGGGACGGAACGCCACCGCCTGCCGGGCCAGCGCATCCCTGCGATGGGTAAAATTACGGTCTGGAGGGGACCGTATTTGACGCCCTGCCAAATCCGCTGTAACAATGCGTTCTCTACAAAAATTTTATAGCATTTAGAGAAATCACAGGTGGTGTTGCGCCATGTTTTTCAACACCAAATAGCTAGTTTTTACATGAATGCGGCCTCTCAATCAAAAGGCGACATTTAATTCCGGACAAAGTATGATTATGATCATAAGTTCGAATGGTGCTCAGTTCAGATCAAATTGTGTGCCCTTCATTTTTTCACACAGCGGCAATTCCAAACGTCACAAATGCACAGAAATTGCATTGAATGGGCACATTCTTGCCACTGCGCAGGACTCTTTCGAGAATTTGCTCCACTGAAGTGCGCCTGGGCGGCTACAAGTACCAGCTGGACATCAATCCGAAATCGAGCATTCAGCTGTTTTTCCTTTTTCGGCCCATGGAAGAAAAGAAGTACAACTTCGTGGTCATATTTCAGGCAAAAGGAAACAACACAGGTGAAGCCATGAAATGCATCCAAGCACTGCCTCACTTAAAATCAACAAAACCCGTCCAGAATGTGCAACCATTCTAGCAAAATCACAGCAAGACTTGTAGGGATCATTTAGTTCCTTAGCATATGCCCAGTGGCCTGTGTGTGCACGTTATATGTTTTGAATTCTGACTGGCGCATATGACCTTTGGTTATATTCAGGAGACATAGTGCAACATCATCTGTGCATCGGATTTCAATGCGCGCCGCAACGTTGGTTCACAAGAATGCTCACCCACTGAGTTCGTCGAACAGGAAACGTGGTGGAAAGGAGCGTGGTGGCCGAAGCCCTCAAGCCCCGCCTCGTTTTCTCAGAAACGAGCGTGGACATGGGCACGCAGATCATCCAGCGATCTTACCAAAACAAGGTGCCTTACTGCCGCGAAGTCAAGGTGCGAAAATGGGGCTTCATTTTCACGCCGCCGCCTTTCAGTTCTAATCAGACAACTGCAATTTCCACTAAAGTTGTTTTCAAGGTCACCATGTGTCCTTCAAGGTGAAAAATAACAGCGACGATCCCGTAAATTTCCGCATAGAAATGGATCAAGAGGAGGAGGCGCGAGACAGGACGAAGGCTGAGTTGTGGGTTGAGCCCACTGAGGCGCTCTTGGGCCCCAGCGAGAGCATGGACATCAAAGTTGGATTCCTCCCGAAAAAGCGAAGTTACTACGAGGCGGTCATGTCAGTTTTTATAGGCGACGAGGACGAGGCGCACATGGAGCTGCAGGTCATGGGCTTCGGCGAAAATCCGAGGCTTAGGTTCGACAGGAGGGAATTGATACTTCCGGCGGTACGGATGCGCGTTTTCGTAGTTCAGCAAGTCCAAATGATGCAAATGTATTTCAGTTCACAAGAGTTCAGACACCATTGTATACTAATGGAAATCAGGGTCTGGCTTTCCTCAATGTCAAAAGTAGAAAAATGGACAGTGAAGCGCTTGTATGAAACATCGTTGAATGCTGCGAAGTGCAAATTCAAAGTAGTTTCGTGATTAACAACGATTCAGTGCTTGTTAGCCCCGATGCGTCT